CAACCTCATCCAAGCTTCCCACGCTGCTCGTCGGGGCGTCGAACCCTCTTCCAGTTGCCTTTTGGCCTTTGCCAGCTTTGCCTGTGCCCGCGCGTGCGCGAAGGCCTGCGCCCGGCGCTGCGTGACCAGCGCGTGGTCGCTGTGAAGAGCTTGAGAAGCGAGCAGGGTAAGGCCTCGCCATGCGACCGGAGTGGAGTGGTGTTTTTTCCAGAGTCCCTTTACAGTGGAACAGTTGGCAAAACATCTACTGTAAGGCTGTGGGGCTCTGGATCTGCCCTAATACAACCCAGCGCAAACATCCTTAACTATGGCCGCTCGTGAGTGTGTCTGTTCACGCCACTCTTCGGCTGATATCCTCGTTTGGTCACTGGACAAAGGAAATGCAATGACCATTCGATGGGCGCCCATCCCTCCCTGGAACCACTGGTTCGGCTTGATCAGACCAAGGCGTTCCTGTACATCGCCAGGCCGGAAAGCCTGGGCCCTGCCTGCCCGATTGCAGCAAATGGCAGTCTGAAGATGTATGCAATCAGCATCAATCAGCCTCTCTCATCTCTCTCCGGTAGGGGAGCCTGGACTGGTGGCAGGGACAGCTGCACAGCACGAAGGATATGGTCAGATGGGTATTGGGCATTTGGCAAAGATTGGTGAGCACTCTCATCCATCTCTAAACTGGGAAGCTCCCAAACGGCTTCAGGGGAACCTGACTTCGCCCGCACGAGGATATAGTCCACTGTATGATGGGAGGCCGGGTAGGCTGCGCCGGCATCCACAAACCCTTCCTGCTCGACCACTGTAGCGGCTCCTTGATCTGTGGCAAGGCACAAATTCAGATCAGCGCCGCAAAGCACGGGCGCACCTGGGGGTAACAGCTCTTCAGCAGCTTTCATGGTTGCTCTCAGGAAATGCTGGCACTGCAAATGCTTGAAATGGTCATAGTCCATACCTTGCAACTGCTCCTCCGACACGCGGCACTTCAAATGCATGCTGGTGACAAGGAAGGGCTGGTGACATGCGTCGCTCGGCTGGAGAAGCACCCCCAAAACAATTTGCGGCACGACCTGGAGAGCTTTCTCAGTGCCGTAGCTAAAGCGCATCTTCTGCGAACTCTGTATGTGCTGCTTCCATGCCTTTGCCAGGCTGGCCCACCTCTTTTCTCGAAGGTTAAGGCTGGTCCAGCACAGTGGCATGATGACCTGCAGGCGCTCTTTTCGAACGAAAATGGCCTGCCCCTCTGTGGCCGCCATAGTCTTTTGACCCTCCTTCTTTGTCCACTTGGTCTTTGGTACAAAGCAGCCTACATAGTCTTTGGACAGGGCTGGCTGGAAGAAATCTGCGAAGTGATCCACCTCCTGCAAGCAAATCACATCCGCTTGGCAACAGAGGATTTCCTCCAACAAAGCCTCCTTGCGCTGACAAAAGCTCAAGGCGCAGTTCTGGGGCTCCAAACCTTCAGCTAGAATGTTGAAGGTACAGATCGTAATGTCACATGCCACGCGCCCTTCCTCTCTCTCCGTACCCAGCGGACGCCACCAACGGCCAATTCGCTGCTCCATGAGCAGCGTGGACAGCTCGGGAGCTGAGCCATGAGGTGCGAGGGGAAACTGTGACAGGTCAAAAGGGGAAAACTCCTGAGCCGTTGCCCCAGTCAGGCCCTGGTCGGTGAAGGTGCGAGCCGAACTGTCCACCTGTTCTATGATGTTCTACCAGGTCAAGTGAGGTGGCCCCCTTCTTTTTCTGGGGGAATCCCGCTGCCATCGGCGCATGCAAACGTTGGGTGACCGCCACCTCCACAGCCCAGCCGTCTCACAAAAGCGGACTTGGAAGACGCTGACACGTGACATATATGCAGTGTAAGTAACATATGCAGCTGGCTTGTTAAAAGCAAACGCTGTACTGCAACCAATAACATGATATAAAATGTATCCCAAAAAAAACTCTGCACATCTCCAGTATATATATATATTTATATATGCAGATTATATAATCTTAAGTATATATATATATAAGATATATATATATATGATTCATTCGTGGTCATTGCAAACAACCATGATGTTCTGAGTCGACCTCTCCTCACTCAAGTCGGCCTCTCGTCTGTCTTCCCGCCTTGTTGGATCTCCGGATCACTGTGCGGCCAGTGGTCAATGGCACCGGCGATCGCCTCCTCGAGGCCCATCGACTTCTCGGCCTGGCGCTGCTGGCCCCGAAGGACGAAGGCGGCCAGGGAAGTTGGGACCATCAAATAACGTATACCGTGGTCTTCTTGAAATGCAAGTCGCGTGGTCATACCGTGGTCTTCTTTACAAGCGTGGTCGCGTGGTCATCATTACGTGGTCTGAATCCGAGTGCAACTAACCAGCACCACAATCTGGAGGCTCAACAACAGACCCTCAATTTGCTGCTCAACAGGCCCAAGAAGCCACGGCGCGCCGCAGCCGTTGCTTGCTCTCGTTGGCGCCCCGGGCGTGCCCCGGGCTTTGCGCACGCATCTGCAATGCTTGGCCGCTGGGCCAGGTGGTGTCACGGCGGCTCTGCCGCGCCGCCCGCGCCGAGGAGGGGCTGGTGAAGTGCACCAAGCCTGGGCACGACCATCCCCGGGCTGGGCAAGGCTGCTGGGCGTGAAGATGATGGTTGTTTTGTCCTGCAGTGTACATCCAACCAGTGGATCCTCGCTGATCGTGAGGATAAACGCAGCAAAGTCAACGATCAAAGACCCTCCCCCCCGACTCCAACGGTTTGTAAGTGACATATAGTGGTCACATCCTCTGTGACCCCGAGGGCCCCAGCTCTTTCGCGTCAACCACCCGCCAATCGACACCACTTTCTTGGTATTTTTGAGGAGTCGCCTCAAGCAACTTTCTGACTAAAGGGCCGTCTTACCGAGTGGCTTTGGACGGTGTTGCACGATCGCTTTAAAGATATATTATTGCCTGCTGTGGGATAATTAGTTAATTGGCAACTTGGGACCTGTTACCTGTTGCTAACATGCTGCACTTGGACCTTCCTGTCGCGGTGTCCAATAGAGAACCATAAGTAGTGTAAGGGTTTCATAGGGTTTCCATTGGTGACCTTGAGAGGAAAGTGCTGGTAGAATATGTAACTTTCAAAGAAACATATCATCTATACCGAGCAATTTAGTAACAAACCTCGCCAACTGTTATTTTAAGCCATAAGCAACCCCTTCCATACCTAGAAATTTCCGGTGACGTGCTCCCACAAATGGGTGCCGACCATCGTGCTGGTATTGGTAGGAAGCCGACCCATCCTCAAGCAAGTGGCCCATCTTCTCATCTTCCCAGGTGGCTTTCCTGGTGAGCGGTTAAAAAAGAAGGCACACGCGATGCCCGCCCACTCGAATCGTTCGAGCTAGCCATATACATAGGGTGGTACTAGTGAATCCACCCTGGAACGACATGATAATGACACGAGGCAATGGCCAATGTCGGGTCTGCCATCCACATACGGAATTAACCATGATGATTTCAGGGAGGTAAACCCACAAACATACGGACCAGACTGGAAGACTATATGGTCCTCTACAACCGAATGCGTTTTTCCGGGTTTCATGTGAGTCTCTTCCCATGCGATACTCCATGCGATAGACCTTCTCCATCCGAAGGGAGTGTGTTCCTCAGAAGGGGGGTTCAGCCAAAGGTGCTGAAATCAGACCCGAGGGATCCAAGTACCTCCTCAAAAGGTACTTGGACCCTCCAAACCCACCCCAAACACCTTCTCAGAGGGTACTTGGATCCTTAGGGAGAGTGTACTGTAGCCAAGGCGTCTGAAACCCCGGGCAGCCCGAGAAGAGCACATGCAGTTCACGCAGCGGATCTCCGATCAACTCCAGTGGGATTTCCAGGCAGCCCATGTTAAGATGCCATGGCTTGTTTCACTGGATGCGGTCGACGAAGTCATGAACTTTGGTGAGAGGAGTGGTTTGTGAAAGGAGTGGAACATGGTGCAACTGCTGACTTGTCGTTGTTTCTCCTAGGGCCTGGCCAGGGGTCCACACCAAAAGCAAGCTGGAAGTTGCATTTGAGACGAAGCTATGCCGGTGCAGTGCATTTACTGAATAAACATCCGGGAACATGTTGCAGTGCCGTCTTCTTTTTTGACACTTTGACTTCATGACTTGCAAGCCCTCAGGCCCTCAGGCAAGAAGCAGAAGGACCACACCGAGGTCTTCCGGATGCCCAACCCATCAGAGACAAAATCACCCACCAGCGCTGCAAGCAGAAGTGTTTGGGAGGATCGTTGGAACCTTCACCTCCCTTCATCAGGAGCCCACGCCTGTGTTGGCAGCATCTTCTGTGAGACAGTGCAGGAATTGCAAGGATACTTGAACAAATAAATAGGGAGACCTCTCAGGCAACCACACCCCTGGAAGAAGGACCATAGACCAAAAGCTATTGGCTGGGGTGCCTCCGAACGTCTCCGACACGTCCAAGCGAGTGCCTCCCTCGACCGGCCCCGTATATTTTCTGCCTGTCACCGGTGGGTACTGGGGGCGGAAATCTGAAAGTGTTCACTTTTTGAGAACAATCCTTCGTGATAAGCTATACGGTTACAGCTATTGGCTGGGGGTCCCCCTACTAACATATAGACACCCACTTTGCAAAATATCAACCGTTCGGTCTAAATGTCAACTGCGCTTGTTTCAGCAGCATGACTCGCCGACGAACTTCCAACAGGCCTGCACGCCTGAAAGCTGAACTTCCAACTTCAAGAAACCGTCCCCCAGTGGCTCCTGGAACCGATGTTTTTTGGCTGTCCTTATCAATTGTATCAAGAAAACATAAGAACACCAGAAATTTTTCGATTCTCCTGGACTCCTGTATGATCCTCTGTGTTCGTACTTGTGTTCGTCTGTCAGTGAAATGACTGGGACTGGCAGCACGACTTGGAACTGCCCCAACAAGACGCTGCCCGCACGAAGCGTTCCGCCATGGATCGTTTCATGGCCACCCTCGACTCAACGAAATCGCAACCCAAGACGCACTAATCGCAGCACTCAAGGCCACCTCTCCCTGCCAACTCGCGAATGGCGCAGGCTACCGGCCGGATGGAGAAACTATGCCCGCGAGACTTATGATCGTGCGGTTGTCTGGTCCGCTGGTCCGCTGGTCCGCCGGTCCGCTGGTCTGCTGGTCCGCTGGTCCGCCGGTCCGCTGGTCTGCTGGTCCGCCGGTCCGCTGGTCCGCCGGTCCGCCGGTCCGCTGGTCCGCCGGTTCGCCGGTCCGCGGGTCCGCTGGTCCGCTGGTCCGCCGGTCCGCCGGTCCGCCGGTTCGCCGGTCCGCGGGTCCGCTGGTCCCCTCCTCTCATGGATGCGCTCGTCCAGTGGTCCGGTCTGCGGTTCCGGTGGTCTATAAACTGGACATGGAAAGATTTTTTTGTTCTTCAGACAGCAACGTTAGGCAGCGTCTGACAATCAACCTCGTTGGGCCTGCCCTGCAAGGGTGATGCGGCGGAACGGAAGCGCCTCACCTATACCTGGGGCTTGAAGCCGAAAATCAGTAACAGAAGTCACCCTCATTGAACTGAAGTGATCATGCTTTGGAATGCCCACCAGAATCTCTGATGTACACCGTACACCCTGCTTTTTCCAAACTTCAACGCCCCCATCCCTGGCCACCGCTCCTGCTAGTCTTGCACCACAGTGTAGGCGCAAGGTCTGCCTACGCTGCTGTTGTGGCTGACAGGTCTGCAATTAAGGGAGACAAGTTCGGATCTAGATTGTCATGACCAAATTCTGGGAAGGGCTCGGCGGGTGGAATACCTACGGGTGGATTGGTTTCACGCAGTTTCTGCAGGACCCACTCGGCTGCCTGCGCCTGAACAACCAAACACCTGCGGATGAGCTCTTTTCACACTTCCTTAGCGACTGTTGTATATCTCCACAACGGCTCACTCCTCATCTCTGGGCCGTTTGCGCCGATCTTCCTGGCGCTTCCTTTCCTGGTTGCTGGATGCTTTCTCCATGGCGGCCACCAGCTCCCGCAAAGTCAGCCCACAAGCCCTCATCAATTCATTGTGGTACTTCACCTTGCCCTGCGCTGTGTCTGGGATCACTTTCAAACACAAAGTCTCACCCTGGAGCTGAAGGATGCTGGAATGCTGCTCTGCGGCTGCCGCCATGACCGCTGTCCATTTCTCTTCAGGAAGCGCTTTGGGGCGGCCCTGTTCCCTGCTGGTGCGCATTTTGTCACACGCTTCTTTGCGAGTCATCTTTGGCTTGCCGGTCAGCAAGGTGTGCTTCAGGATTGCCCGGTCTGTCCAGTGACGGCTGAAGAGACCGTCAGGCTGGACTGTGACGCCATTCTCGCCAAAACCAAAATCACTTGCCCGCACTTCATCAAGAACCAGCGGCTTTTCGCTGCGGGTGGATCTTGGGGCGGTAGGTCCTCCACGACTTCGGCCACGCTGTCTGGGGGCCTTTCAAGCGAGTTGGGCCCAGGTTCCGCATCTTCTTCTTCAAGTTCAAGTTCAAATTCTTCTTCCTCGCCAGCTTGGGGAAGCCGAAGTCCGGGACCATGCTGGGTCGAAGCAAAATCTTCCGTCTGATAAGGAACACGCAAAGTTGCCAAATCGAAAGCAGGTTGCGGACTTGGCTGCTGGCGAAAATGGTCTGGGCTAGCGGCTGCATCTCCCAAAGCAATATGCTTCAGCTTCTGGACCGGAATTCGCGAATATAGCGCCAACCACAGATCTTGGGTTTTTGAAAATAAACAAACAAGAAACAAAGTGCCAAGAAACCAATTGGAGCAGAGCATAGGCCCTTTGGCAATGATCTGGAGTGACCTGCAAATCCCTCCGTCCAAGAGCTTCAACACTGTGCGCACCCACAAAGATTTCAAACACCAGGAGCAAAGCCGCCAAAACTCCCACTTGCCACGGAGCGGCTCCAAAGCGAGCGCCACCCTGAACATCCCCTGATTCGCGAGACAGATGGGCTTGCACATTCATTCCACCTTGGTAGGACATGTGCCAAGACTCCGCCTCCGGAGTGAGGGCAATGACTTGGTGAGGTTGGTCGAAGTAGGCAGTGACTCGGGAGACAGCGGCCGTCAGGGAGCACTCTGCTGGAATGGCAAAGCTTCTGTTGGCAACGCGCCACTGAGCTTCAAACCCAGACGTCGACGCAGGAGAACGTTTGAACCGTAGGCGGCTCATCTTGCCATCCAAGAGCCTCACAGGGTACCCATCTTCTGATGGGACATAGTCGCCCGCTGCATTCTGGGTGAGCTGCACTGCTTTTTCATCTTCAAGGCCAACGTCTTTCCACTCCTGAGCAGCAGCATCTGGCGAAGCAGCCTCTTTGGCTATGCCCAGCAGTTCCGCAATTTCGGTTGTGAGAGGAACCCATCGGTGCCGGGAAACTCCTGCGCAAAGCAAATCCAGCAAAGAATGTGAGCAGATTTTACAGAATCTAAAACGCTTTAACACAACACCCATCGCGCAGAACACCTGTCCTGGAGGGCAACAGAAATCTGCCGGCATGTCTTCATGCGGCTGCACAGGGCGGCCAGTGGAGATGACAAACCGTTCTTTGGTGGAAGCTGCGTGGCAACCAACCTCACCTCTTTCCATAGGGATGTATTGCGCAGGGTGCATATTGCAAGTGATCCCCAAGCTAACGGTTCTAGCAAGCTTCTCTCCATAGCTCCCATTCGTTTTCGTGGCGCGAGCGCTGGTTCCAAACTGCAAGAGCTTGTTGAAGGCACTCTGGTACGGGTTCACCCTTGCCTTGGCTTTCTCCTTGGATGCAGGCCCATCGGACAAGAGACCCAAGCTGAGCAGGAAGTCGTAGGCCTCATCAAAATTCCCCAGCAAGCCAAACCAGCATCGGCCAGACCAGTCTCCGGGCAACTTGTCAGCATTTCGGACCTGGTTCCAATCGCCCGAGCATCGATGGAACCACTCCTCAGGTGTTGCGCTGGCAACCATTGCGGAGAATAGCTTCGGCTTCAACCTGGCACAAAAGGCGGGCTCGTTTTTGGTTAGAATTCAACACCTAAAACTTCCCAGCCCCCTGTTTCAACAGCCCGCTCACACCTGTGCTGCACTGGCGCAGGAGCGCCTTCTTCCACACAATATGTCGCCAGCTTGGACTCCGCGTTCGTCAAGATGACTGCGTCCAACTCCTGCCCACAAGCCTCTGCATGTCCTGTCAAGGATGATTTTCTCGTCTGGGCGTAGTTGACATTAATTGCAACCAACGTCAAAGGCGATGGCGAGGTAGCAAAGACAGCCACTTTGGCACCGTTCACAAGAGCACACATCAGCGACAAGCAGTGGAGGGCGTAAGGAAATTCTGCATGGGCTGCCCTAACAGCGTATGTTTGGCAGAAGCGGTGCCCAGCTTCTCCAAGGATGTAGCTTGGGTCGAAGCACTTGTCCACTTCATCCCACATCAAATTCATGGCAGGGATGTACTGTCTGTCTTCGTGGGCTCCAGACAAGGGCCCCAGAACTGACGACATGGCTTGGCCGCGCCACCGAGCTCAGAGCAGACGCGGCTGTCACGGCCATCATGCAAGGCTTTGTTGGAACACTTTAGTCAGACTTAGTCGAAGCTACGCAAAACAGTTTGGTTTCAAAGCGAGGCATCTGCACATGCGCACTGACAGAGTCATGTACCGCGTGATATGTAGCCGTTTGAAGCAACAGGTCGATGCAATGAGCGGGTACGACACACCATGAATTTTCCATTCCACAGCTTCGATCCAGTCTATAAGGCACAGGCCGCGCTTGAAATCCTAAATCTTAACTTTAGACTGTCAGTCGGTCCCTTCCAATGCCGCAGAGCCGGCGACCTCCTCTGGTCTGTAGCCTCCTTGGAGTATAATTTCATTGTGGCTCCACGCCATATCGAGCAAGAAGAATTGGAAGCCGTGCTTGTTCATGTGCTTGGTTTGGTGTTTGTACTTGCTCAACCAGGTAAAAGTGAATTCACAGACCGAAGTCCGAATGCCTTGACAGAAGAGAAGCATTTGCAGGCAAGGCTGGGTCGCACGTCTCTTTACACCAAGCATCGGTATGGCCAGCCATGTGGAACTTGTCGCACACGTACTTCATCTCTGGCGGGGCTATCTGGGCAGCAGCTTCTGAATCCTGCGCATGGGCAATATAAAACGTGAAAGGCATTCACGCAAGAAACAACAGAACACTAGCACGGTGCTTATAGCTCTCACTGCCCAAAGAATTTCGTGGCTTTGTCATCCCCTTTGAGTTTCCGTCCTGGGCGCGACGAGCCGCGTGCTTGTGCAAATGGCAAGCATCATCGTGGACCACCACGCGAAGGGACGGCAAGAGGGCTTTCACAGACGCCAGACATAGGTATCTCTGGCTCAACGACTCACAGCCGTAGATTTCTTGCATGTGCAAAATCAAACCCTCAGACAAACACGCGCACAACATTCCAGCAGATTTGGCAAGCTGCCTTTGAGCAGCGCTGCCTTCCTTGTGTGTGCAGCAAGTCACGCACTGCAAATCTGTTGGGTCGGACGAGCGCCCAATCTCTTGCAACGTTAAACTCGCAAGCATCGAAGGTCCAAGCGATGAGGAAGAGCCGCCTCTGCCGTCTGCCTCCTCTTCTCGCCGTGGGCGTTTGCTGGGTTTCAACTTCGCCTCGCCCACTTGCTGCAAATAGTTGGACAGGACAGACGCTGGAACTGCAGAATCGGATACCCAAGCTTCTCTTTGAGGCTCCACAGTCTCTTTCAGCAAGACCATCAAGCACTGTCCGTCATTGATGAGCTTGTGCTGAAGAATGGTCACTTCTTGAGGCAGAGTGGCTGAAAAAGAAAAACTTTACCCATTTTTGCGGTTGGAAATGCTTTGCCCCCCCGTCTGGAATTGATCATCTTGACTGCAATGGGCGGGACAGAAGCATCTCCGAAAAGCGGGAGTATTGGCACAGTTGTGGCGGACCACCCGGCGCAATTCCTTGGAAAAAGTTTCTCCGGCCAATGAGGCTCCGCAAACAGCTCGACGATTTTTTGCATTGCCATCGAGCACAACAACGTCACAGCGCATCGTGGCTTTTTGGGCTTCCTCCAAGGTAGTCGTGCCAAATTCTCTTTGCAACTGCGGCAAGAATAAGCCAATCATGTCCTCCATGGGCCGCAAGAAATCAAAAGATGCTAGGTCCAAATTGCTTTGGTGCACCCGGGTGAGGAGACGCCAAGCAAACCACCCCTGGCTAATGAGAAGCCGCAATCGAGCTGTTGGTAAGAGATGGAGCTGGGAATTGTAAGCTGCCTGCGCGCCGAGCACATCTGCTTCACTTGTGAAAGACGCATGTTGCCTCACCATGCGTACGTGAAACTGTTGCAACCAGGGGACACTGAAGCCGAAGGTGGCGGACAACATGAAGCAGTTCAACTCAGGTAGCTCTCCTGCAAAATGATGGCACCCACTCCGCACGGTATAGTTGTACCACAGCAGCACACCAAAGTCTGGACAGGAGGATCGCCGACATCTCAGTGGAATGTGTTGTTTCTGGACCAAACCCGACAGATCTACGACGATAGCTGCAGCAGCGGAGCTCCGACATTCAGCAAGTCGTCCTCCGCACCCAGGGCAAGCAACAAGCTGCGGCACCAATTCTTGAGCTTTGCTTTCCCGGCCGAAAACAGCAACCCTTTGGTTGAAGAGCGGTTCTAATCTGGTCGCCAAATGATGGACTAGTTCTGGCGAAATTTGCGCAGCCGGGTCAGCGTCACAAATGGCCTGCGCAAGGACCCCATGGCACTGATGCTGTGGATTCGTCATTGCAGCTGCATGAAAAAAAGAAAATGCTAGATTGATGTTTGCTGATAGCAGGGTGGCTTGCGGGTCTCGCGCTTGCGATGGCAACTTGCATACTTGCATGCTGGTTCAAAAGCAGAAGCACGGTAGATGTTTGCAAGTCATGTTTTCGACCGCGGTGGCAATCATGCGCCGATGAAAGAAATCAAGAGACAAGGCCAGCAGCTTGAGGATGAAAGAAGACGATGCGGCCAAGTGAAAAGGCTCATGCCATGGGCGACACAGGCAGCAAGCTGTTGGCAAAGCGATTGACTTCATTAGTACAGCCAGACGAAACTCCCACCGCGCCTCAAAACGCCACGCGGCGAAGCAGCAAGGCGAAGCCTGACCAAGGACGCATTGAGTGTCCCGGGCTGAAACAGTAGTAGCAGCAAAAACAACAAGAACAACAACCAAAACTCCCATCACCACCACCATTATTATCTCCGCTGGTCCGCTGGCCTGTTGGTGGCGCAGGCCAGGGTGGGAAGGGTGGGACTCTATGTCAAGTGCTGGCGCCCGCTGGTCCGCTTAGCCGCTATCCGCTGGTCGTTGCCTGCTCTGCTGGTCCGCTCGTCCGCTGGTCGCTGCTCCGCTGGTCCGCCGAAGCTGGTTCGCCAGCCTGCTGGTCCGCCACTCCGCCACTCCGCCGGTTCGCCGGTCCGCGGGTCCGCTGGTCCGCTGGTCCGCCGGTTCGCCGGTCCGCTGGTCCGCTGGTCCGCCGGTCCGCCGGTCCGCCGGTCCGCCGGTCCGCTGGTCGGCTTGGACGGTAAGGGGATCGTGAGTGGCCCGCGATGGATTGGGTGGGAGAAACCAGCACGAACGATACACTTTCTGGAAAAATTTATCTTTCGGGGGCCAGGCCTTCCTTCGACGTAACTCCCCTCAAGACGCTTCAGGTTTTCCAGAAGTTGTTTGAGATTAGTTTCGGAGTTCGGGCTGCCTGGGGTGTAACCACACTAGGAATGCACCATCTATGGGACCCATAGATAGACCAAAACATGAGCAATGAACATGAAGATCATGAAGCAAAATAGAATCAAACATAACATGAAGCCCATGCACATGGCCGGAGACCATCCCCTTGACTTCACGCCCTACCGATGCCTCGTCGCGCAGCGAGGCCAGCTTGACGCTGAGGAGCTGCAAGGCCAGCTGCCAGCGAGCCGCCTTCTCACAAGCCTGGTTGCACGGTGGTGGGCACGGTCGTGGTGGGCACGGTTGCCTTGTTTTCCATGATTTTTGCCCAAGCCAGTCGCATTTGGATGTCTCCTCAAGATCAGAAAAGCAAAGAGGGGACATCCCAATCTGCTCCACCGTCTGCGCCCATCAAATTGCTATCACTTCCACTAGCCAGGAAAGCAAACCCCGATTCTTCAAGATTCAAGTCGTAAGCAAGTCAGTAGAGCAAGTGACCTTTCTTCGTTCATTGTGCTGGCTGGAACCCTTCAATCCCTGCACAAATAATAAGGTCTCGGTCTTTCAGCCTTGTAGGTCTCTAGGTCTCAGGCAAATGACGGATGTCTAGATGCTACAACTGCTGCACAGCACGTAGCAATTACCTCCCTGCAGACTAACATCGACTATGAAAATGGATCCCTGTAAGAATATGAGACTATTCTCATCTACCACCATCCATCTAATGGTTTTCAGGGTCCATCTGAATCTGCAGGAGGGTAGGATGAGGAGGGAAAGTAAGCTGAATTCATTTCAGTCAGCTGACTTGCTGGCCCCTCATCCCTGACTGACTCGATCGCCAAAGGCACGCTGATGACGGCGCTGCAGCAAGGCGCGGTCGCCACGGCAAATCGATCGAACAGGGCCAAAGCGCCTTTCCAATGAGCGCCTGCCCACAAATCATCGGTGGCTACTACGGCCTCCTGAGATTCTCAGGATCCACCGGTTCTGATTCAATTTTGGGAGATCCCAAAGCCCGATCAGATCCATGAAACGGTGTTTAAATTGAGGCCTATTTGGGTGCAGCTTTAACAGCAGAAACGGCTTCACCGTACCTGTGCCGGCCTCGCGGACCTGGCAGGCACATTGCCAGGGAAGTTGGGAATGAGTACACCGATTTCTGCCATTTTCTGCCCCTCCAATGGGAAAAATTACCATATCCTGTATGTCAATGTGGAAACATGTGGAAACTAATATCTTATGTGGGACATCCAGTTCTGAGACACCCTCTTTTGTGATTCTTCGAAGGATCGAGACCCTCCCAACCGTTGAGAACGTGCCCACCTCTGCATGGGTGATGGACCATCGATGAAAGGGCACAAAATGATACAAGAACAGGATCGCCTCGGAAGTCAAAATCTTCGGAACAGTCTCGGCACCCACGTCTTTTTGGGCTGCGGTCCACACATGTTAGTTCGACATCCCAAAATGATCCATAAAGGTTCTAACGGAACCCGCACAAGCCTCCGTGATGCGTTGAATCTCGCAATTCACTTAGCCTCCGGAGGCTTCGTCCTAACCTGGTCCCATGAACAATCCTCGTCACCGCCCCGGTGTTGGGCAAGGTCTTTGGGGCTTCGCTGGGCAGGCCTCGCCTTTTTCACAGGCACTGATGGCGGCACCGTAAATCACCTCGTCGCTGTGAACACCTGCACGAGACCAACGTAGGTGCTTCCATGATCTGGGCCAGGACAGAGGGATGGCCCAGGCAAAAGTGGGCTCCTCTTCTACTAGTAGTGGTACAGGAAATCAACATGATCTTGGCTGATGGGACTGATGGGTCCATGTTCCTTCATGTTTGTACATTTTGCACCATCGCTGGTGACCACAGCCGAGATGCTCAACATCCTCTTCCAATTAAAACAAAAACACATAGAAAAGTAACATCCCTCTTCAACAAGTATTGGAATCCGAGCCACTATCTATTTGGGGACCACTGCATGGGACAGTGGCCACTTGCGCCGAAGCCTCCCATCTCTCGAAATCCGGGCCGACCCTCTCGACCCAGTCGACGGGGGGTTCCCTAACATCTGATCCATGAAATTCAGAAGAAAATTGCTCAGACTTTCCCTGCAGGTCAGCTGGACCTCATTTTTACTGGAGTTGGTCATACAAACACCTCTCAATGAGGTAGAGGACCAGGTTTTACACATAGCTGCACATAGCTGCAAAGGTCAAAGCATCGCCGTTGGATCTGGCCACTACGCGGCAATCTATTTTGGGTTGCTCAACCTGCATGTCTTTTATGACAAGCCCACTAAGGTTTGCGCGGAGTTGTTTTGGGTGTCCCCTCCGGTCACAGGTTTGATATGAGTTCAATTGATGTCATGACATGTTTGGGCCACATCCTGCCCAGGTGCCTTCATCAAGGGACAGCTGGTACAAGGCCAAACCATGCTGCCACGCACTGCCTTTCTCCTCATCTTCTTCACAGCACAAGGCGCTGGGGCGGGGTGTGCACGGCAATGACTAGACCCCTCAACTGCAAGGTTGGAAGGCAAGTGATGACATTGGGTAGATAAGGAACAGCCAAAAAGTTGGTTTACCATGCTCTTGACATTGTTTCAACAAGATATATAGAACTAGCTTTCTCTTTCGGCCACTGTAATCTTTCATGCGACCCTGAGGTGCCAGCAAGGAGTTGATGATTTGATCCGGAGAGGACGGTGTCCCCAGTGAGGACCCTATCTAGCAAGGGGTTGTGGCAACTCCCTGTAGCTGCGAACTGCTCAGCTTGGCTCATGGCTCCCTCTTTCATGGGGAAGGTGCCAAAATGGTACCAACGACTGAGGCCAGGATGATGGCAAGAATTATGTAGTGGTCAGTGGTCCCAAATAAATAGAAACGGTGTCCAATATTGTAAATGTTTAGTGGGGGATCAACTTTTCTACTGTGAGAAGTAAAAAGGGGGGGTCTGTGTATATACATAAATATAGAGAGAATAATATCCGCCGACCCCACACCGTGGGGTGAGGCGTGACTGTCGATGTTAGCCTTAGCCTTAAGCCTTAGCCTTAGCCTTAGTCCTTAGCCTTAGACCTAGTCCTTAGCCTTAGACCTAGACCTTACCTCCCCTACCCCTCCGGACCCTTGTTGCAGTGACGAAATCCGGCCCTAAAAGCGACGGAAGTTCTCCAGGAAAGCTACCTGATTGACCCGTGGATTGTCCAAGATTCTGCCATCCCAATTGATTTACATCTTGGGGCACCCTCTCGACCCGCGCGGGAAAATAAGCACGGTCCAAAATGGTCCTGGGCTCGAATCCCGGGCTGGTCGCGGCATGGTCCTGGCCAATGCCCTTGCTTTTTCGTAGATTTTGTCACGTTTTCTGTTGGCTTATGAGATTTTCAAAGGCTTTTCTGGCATTTTCCTGGGAATGCTCTAGGCTTTGTCTTTTTGGGTACCTGCTTTGGTGGTGCTGGGTTGTGTCTAAATTCTTGGGCAATGATATCCTTTATGGGGACGAGGGTTCAGCATTACGGGGTTCATGCAAGAGATGACGTCCGATGGTAAACCTGGGAGGTACCCAAAAAGTCGGCTTTTTGGGGACCTGCTTTGGTGGTGAAGGGTTGGGTCTAAATTCTTGGGCAATGATCGGGGTTCATGCAAGAGCTGACGTCCGATGGTAAATCTGGGAGGTACCCAAAAAGTCGACTTTTTGGGTACCTGCTTTGGTGGTGCTGGGTTGGGTCTGCACTCTTAAGGCTAAGGCTAAGGCTTAAGGCTAAGGCTAACATAGAGCAAGGCTAGCGCTAAGGTTCTATCCCTTGGGGGTCGGCGGCTGCAGGCGGTAGCCTGGTAAATATACATTTGATAATGTGAAGTACATGGTCAGGGCATTTCTGCATCATGTCCTCTGCGTCACATGCCGCCAAGATGCGCATGCACTAATACTGGCCGCATACCTGGGCGCCAAACCAGGTTGGTTAGGCTGGAATGATGGCCTCCTGCTGTGTGAATTTTGGGTTGGAGCTTTTAAGGACAAGAGTCCGTGAGTCCATGATGCATCTTGCAAGAATGATCTCCCAAGGCCCTTTGGTGACCACTGGTCTCAGTCAAGTCTCGGAAGCGAAGTCAAATGACGAGAGTCGGACGCCACTCATCGTGCCGGTGGCCGAAACCAGGAACTAGACACTCTGACTCACTAACATGGAAGCGCAACATAGATGAAAATAGCAATCCAGGTTTAGTGAGTCAAAAGATACCCGTGCCATTCCACAATGAATTCCTCTTCATTCCATCGATCCCATTTCATGTTCCCCTGCGACCCTCATACAAGAAGAGGGCCATCTTTGCATACCTGTGCCCAACAGCTCAAGAACTCCATGTTTCGAACAGGTTTCCCTTCTTGCTGGTCATCGTCACGCTGGGTTCTTGAAGACATTGATCCACCGGTTCCTCGCCACATGCGCCAGGCTCCGCCGTTCGCTCCACCCGAGCTGCAGGATCCGGTCCTTCTTGAGACGCTCTTGGCCCAGCTGGCGAAAAAGCGTCAAGGCACGCTGCCATTGGCCCGCCTCATCAGCAAGATCAGCTGATCAGTGACTAGCCGTGTGACCAAACACGGGTGTGGGGGTGTTGAAACTGTTGTGTTTCACCGGACTCTCCCCACCTGACCTGAAAAACCCAGGTTTTTGCAGTCTGTTGAGAGCACAAATATATATATATATATTTTTTTTATAGCACAGAAAATTCACCCAAACTTTACACTGAATATGCGAGGCATCTTCGAGGCATGCACCTCCCTTCATCTGAATAATTATTGTACACTCTTGTGTTGATGTCACACCCCTGTTATGATGAGGTGTTTCAATTCCATGAATCAAGAGTCTACATTAGTGGCGAGCAATCATGGTTTACGGCCAGCTTCCAACAGCTTGACGCTGTTCGCCGGTCGGAGGCTTGCCCACCTTCTCTAAGGCACTGATACCAGCGCTGAAGGAGATCACGTCCTGAATTGGGTTGGGGGCGCCCAGGTGCGGGCCAACTGCTCCAAAATTCTCCAATCCCTTCCAAAAACAGCCATCTGGGCACATCATTGATGAAGAATTCATGACATACCTCCTCAGGGGGTAGTTGGACCCTCCTGGCACCCACCCCAAACACCTTCTTAGAAGGTGCGACTGGAACCCTACAGGGTTCATGACGTCTCTCGCGTGCTTTCCCTGCTTCGTTTCAGACCCTCGAGAACCGTTGATTCGGTCCTTGCGCACCTGGCGGCGTGCCATCTCTTGATGGAGATGCCTCGAGGATCCCCGAATTGGATTCGTGGTCCAGGCATGGATTCAGAGATAGCCATTGACTTTGAACCAAACTCAAGCGTGTTTGTCTTGAAAAGCTTGGGTGACGATGATCGTGGGTTCGTTGCTCCAATAGTCTTGTGGGTGCCGACCATGAGAGACATTAAGCATAACCCTTTGGTCCAGGCGTGCCCTGAAACCTTCGAACTATCATCGCTAACATCCAAAAACCTTATGATGCGGGCCTCAATGCCAAACACTTCATTGAGGAAATGTTACCGAGGATGTCGAACTGAAGTCTCTAGGGCATTGGTTCTTTGCAATTGGAGTTCCTGAGCCGCCTGAGATGGTTTTGGGGAGGAGCTTGCGCGGCGCCTGATGCACCAAAAGGTGCGGCACCAAGAGTTCCATATTGGGGTGCTGAACTTGGAGGGTAGGGCCCTTGTCACATCCACTCACTTGGGGACTGGAAACCCCACCTTTATAAATGCTGAATGTGATTCTACACTACAGTGCTTTCAGCTCAGTCTCACAAGACTGCCCAGCCGGGATGCTTAAAGGTATGCTTGACATTGCTTGACCTTCACAAGCAAAAGCTCGCGTGATGCAATGATGCAATCTTCAGTTTCATTTTTCACGGGTTACAAAAAATAAGCTTCCTTTCTCCTACCGTAAGAACCCCTCAGTGTGCCCACACTGTTTGGGGAATGGATCGCCAAGGAGTCGAACAACCCGCAGTTCCCCCACCACCACTCCGTTCCGTCACTCCGTCGGGCCCTTCGAGTCTTCGGTCACTCCCCGCTTTTGGTGAAAAGTAGAGCCCAAAGCTACCCACCCAGGGCTCTACTTGAATCCAAGACAAGACCTGTCTGTAAGAGGGTTTCAGGGTCTACAGAGAACTAGGGTTTGTAGGGTCTTGGATTCGCCTAAGCTCTACTGCTCTGCTACTAGTTGAGCCTCTGGTAGGATCGGCTTAGAATCGGCTTAGCTTGAGCAACTCTGGCAGTAACTGTGGCTACATGTTTGTCCTGTTTCGAGGTATAGGTATCATATGCTCACCCTCCATGATCCACCATGTCATGTGTTCTTTCTTCATCAGCTCCTTACTTCTGTGTAATCTATTGCACTCCGCTCTATCAGCTCTACCATTGCACCCCGCTTTGCAACGAAATGCCTTTGCAAAAGAAGTGTCGCTGTGTTGCATTATGGCCACAGAAAACGGCCTGTTCTCGGGGGCAGCAGGCGAAACAAGTCCATGATCGTCCTCCACTTGTTGCGATCGAGAACTAGCTACCAGAACCGAATTATGTTGAGACTGGACAAGTCACACTGTGTCGCACAGCATCAACAAGAAACCAACCAAACAACCATACAAGGGCCCAGAAGAAAAGGACGTACTAGATGCGTGGGAAACCTCACAAGACAAGATGCCTAGCCCGCGCCCCTAGCGGCCCTAGCGGCCCTAGCGGCTCAAATGCGTAGCAACCACTCACATGCGACTGGCCATGAAAGCTCAGCCCAGCGGCAAAGACAACTGCCAGTGATAGCTCTTTTCGAGTGCAGTGATGCTGCTGTTGTAGGCCACCGTGCTGTAGGTGCTGCCAAATGTGCTGAGCGATGTCGCGAGGTCCGGTGCCATGGAAACAAGGGGAAGAGAGGAGGAGCGCTGGCCATGTGTGGTCTACCAGGCTTTTGTGAGAGATCACGCCAGATCTCCGTGGCAGAGATCTACATGAGGTTTGGAGTGGTTTTGGTACAGGAATCCGACGGGTTCCTGCTTTGAATCCCACGAGTTCGTGCTTTACACTTGATTTTTACATGGCATGGTTGTTCCAAATTCCCGGAAAGAAAAGCGACCGGGTTGACCAAACCCGTGCCCCGCCCTGCCCCTGAACTTGGAGGCCTCCAGTCGAACCCTCCCTCCCGCCTCCCCAAGTTCGAGATTTGGCCTCGGGAACGGGTGCCCGGCATCGGGGTGAAGGGTACGAAGTTGGTTTTGTATTCCCTGGAGCCATCAGTCTACAAGTGGATGGCATGGCCCCTGGGAAAAGGATGTTCCTCAACAAACAGGTGGTTTTCATTACTTCAGGGAGCGCAGATTTCGGCCGCTATATCAATGGACTGATCTCGAAGTGATTGTAAGTCCGATGGCCCAGATTCCAACCAGTCCTGGAGTCCAAGGTTTGATTAATCAACCGTCTAAATTACTGGGATGGCACCGACAGGACGACAGTCGCTCAAAGTGACTGGTCTGTTCTGAGGACTGACGATGGGAGCAGTCCACGTGTGACAGAAAAAGGACATGCAGGAATCCAGAATCCAGTTCATTCCTGACAGGTGGTCCTTCATTCCTGACAGATGGTCCCTATACCAGTTCATTCCTCACAGGTGGTCCCTATAACTATAAAAGGTGTGCATGGTCCCCGGACTTTGCGACCCAAACTTGGGCCTTCCGATGTATCTCCTGACCGCCGGGATGGGCGTCTCTATTTTTGGCTCAGTTGCTCTCACAACCTGAAACAATCATGGCAGTGGATGGCATGGCCCCTAAAAGCTCCTTGCAAGACGATGTTCCTCTACCAATCTCTACCAAGAGGTGGTGAACTCCGCTTCCATGGCTTCGCAAGCAGAGGTCCCGCCACCTGCCACCCAGTGCCACCCAGGCACCGAGCTCCTCCACCGCGAACGCCCAGGCGGCCGCGGCAGCGTAGACGCTCACGGCGGCGGCGCGGTGCAGGGGGTTGGGCGGCAAGCGCGCGGAAGCCATCGCTTGCAGCCTCGCTGCGAGCCGGTGGAAGCCGGTGGTACTGGATGAAGAACTAGACGGTGGAACTAGACGGTGAAGCTGGTAAACTCTGCACTGGGGCACGAAGCACTAAATCAAGTTTAAAATTAAGGTACTATGCATTGAATGTGAAGCTCTGGAGAGTGGTGTTTCTATGTTCTTATTCTCCCGATAATTATCCGCGACTATCTGTTAGTTTTAGGTCTCATGCCTTACGCACGGATGCACTGCCTGGTTGATCAGAATGTCTATAGCAAAGTTTGAAGCAACCGACAAACACCAGGTTTTGCGGATCGCTATTTGTGCAAGTGGGTCTCCCTAAAAAGACCCCAACCAATCGGTTCGGATCGATTTCTCCTTCTTCCAGGGTGTCGTTTGGGAGGTCTTCCTGCTTGCAGTGCGACATATGCATGTGAATAGAAACTCGTATAGTATACATGGGCAACCTCAAAGTTGAACTGTCCTTTTACAAGAGAAATGTGGTTCTTGGAGCGCCCCAAGACGATGCAAAGTTTCTGTCTGTTCCAGGGTAATTGCAACAGCCGCAAATATGCAGTTACATTAAGATAAAGAGTAACATATATTATAGTAATATATAACATTTTCGTCAACGTATATACGATATGTGTGTGTACTTAGATGTAAATATGATTAAAATTGATTAAATATGGATGCCACACCTGTGGTCACACAACCTCCAACAGATTTGAAAAAAGAAACGATGTCAAAAAAGCAAAAACGCATCAAAACGCCCGAAACGGCTTCGACATGCTTTAACAATCGAGTTGGACAATCCAATCCTCTACCCCGATCGCAAAACAAACCAAAAGCAGCTTAGCGCACAAGCTCCAGGCCACAAAAACCTGGCTGCTCTGGGACGCTTCGCATGGCGGAGCTGCACCAAGACCTGGGGCAAAATGACAGGTGCTGCTGCCGCACGGTAACACCAAAACCACCATTCACCTGCGGGTATGGTCTTGTGGCGGATGCACCAGATGGTTCAATCCCAGCGTGCCGATCGGGGTGTGGCCCGGTAGAGTTGTCAACCTTCGCTCGGGTCACGACTGCCATGCTGCTTTGTCCTAAACGCCCTGTTTGTAATATGTGCGGTCCAGGAACAGAAATCACATCAAGCCACCAAAAGTCACCGATAATTACTTAACTTACTAAAGAACAAAACACCAACACGATCACAAAGTAGCCGGACATGCGTCACATCATGTCACATCCATCTCACCCATTTCATCGAATTTCCGCCGGAAAACTCTGGTCACTTCGCCATCTAAAGCATTCACCAAATTCGTTTTCCACCCGATTGGGAATTGTGGCGATGTTGTTTTCAGCTGTGCGATTTCCAGTCCAAAATGAGAGGCCACACATGCTTGATCCACAGCCAATCCCATTCGATCCGATCTTCCCCCCCAGCCCCGGCCTGCGTGACTTGACTGGGACGACGTTTCCAGCTGCAAACCTGGGCCCGGACTTGCTCTTCCGCGCCTGGCGTCGCCACCACGGACGGGACGGGGACTCCGCGGCGCGGAGTGAGCGGCGACGCGGTGGGAGGGTCCTTCGGTGAGAATGTGCTGAAAGTGGATCCATGTGACTCCACCACTACATTCACTAGATGCCAAAGGGGACGGCCTCCAGATGGGACACTTGAAGAATCGCAGTGCATGTGCGGATCATCTGGGATGTCCTAAACATGGAGTCAAAATGGGTCAAGGAAGTCCTTTTCCAACCGCTTCTACCTGGAAGTCCAGTTCGACAACTTAATGACTTTTTTGGAACCTGACCACCGAAGGTGTCAGGCAGAAATTCATGAAAATTCCTGAGCTCGGGTCACCTAGTCAAACCATTTTAAACATGGTCGAGTCGACTGGACTCCCAGATGCTCCCAGGCTTCTGCTTTCGACGTCGCGCACCCGGTCCTGCGTCCTCGGGCGTCTGCCACATGAAGGCGCGCCATGGGAGGAGCGCCAATGGCGGTGGAGGGATGGAAGGTTGTGTGCTCTGCTGGCTGTAGCGAAGTAGGTGGGTGCCGCCTTTTTCTTGCTCTGCCGCTACTCAATGATGAGCTTGATTCGGATGGGATTTAGATATACCCCATCTCCAAGAATCATAGAAGTGGATGGCGTGGCCTCTGGAATGGTCCAGTGGGTCCAGGCTGTCTACTTTCCATCTGTTTTGCGGGGTTTATATAATTGGGTATATCCCATTGCCAGTAACAGTGGATGATGATGGTTAGTGAAGGCCTTTCTCAAACATAGTGATCATCTTTTACTCGCTCTTACTGGTAATGGGCTAGCACTTAGAATATGGACTAATTAAGATTTCTTGAATTAGTCATATTCTAAGTGCATGCTGGAAAAAAGTCATGGGTAAATGCAACGAACCCACATAGAATACAAACGCTACCTACGGTTTGCGTATTCTATCTGCAAGTAATTGTTCTGAGCAGATTCTAAGTGCTAACAACTCACTATAATTATAGTTTGTAACTCTCAAATGTTTGTAACGACATGAAAACAAAGAGCGTCGGACGTGCATGTCTCGATTCCTGCGATGTCCTGTCGACCCTGACATCCGAAGATCGTCGGTGTTGAATCTCCCAGGCGTTCTTTGAAGAAAGAGAACGGGCTCCAACTCCGATTCTATGCCAAGTCTGGCTTACAAGAAAAGCACGACAGGCTGGGCATCAGAATGCAGGAAACTACTGACTCTACTCTTCCCGGATTCCCTCTCATCAACGTGGTGCCAACTGATGGGTGGATTTCTCAGCACTCCGTCACACCGGACTTCGCCAGCAAACGTCACGTGCAGTGAACGTCACTTCGCCGGGCGGTGACGCTCGCCTTTCGGACAGTCTCGAAGAGCTCGGTGTCACAGCCCAGCATCATCTCTTGCAGCCACATGTCATCCTTCGGTCCAATCTCTGAGGTCCCCGCTCGGTCCGGTGGGTGCCCTTCTTCTTCTTCTTCGCCCCCCCACCCGGATCCAAGTCAAAACACTAGCATTAGTATAATTTAGATATACATGAATGTATACATACCTGGTTCTTCAAAGTAACCTGTTGGTCTCCTCTTTTGAGATCACTTAGGCCTGTAAACGGTCATTTGGGGACCTAAAAACTATAATACATACACTATACTACTATACACGCGTCAGGGAGTCATAAAATCACATTGAATGATGGACAGAGTGTCTGGCGACTGAGGGGCCTCTGGGGAGCGGTCCGCCCCCGGAACAGCTATCCATATTGTCCATTACTATGCCATTCTGCACTTACCCAGAGGGAAAACCGACCCCAACCATAGATGTTGTCCAATCTTCAAACGACATCAAATGACAAGAGTCTACGGGATGTTCACCAACCCCGCCTGGTTTCTCTGGCGGGTTTTCTTGCCTGGACGATCCATTCGGCTCATGTTCCACACATGTCCAAGCCTGAACAAACATCAAAACACTCACATACCAGGACCATCCAACGGGCCAACGAAACTCTCCAATGGATCATCCGGCCAACTACTATGCCCAAACAGGATGTTCCAGGTCGCAGTTTCATGCACTTTCGAGACCAAATCCCCTAAAGCACCACTCCCGGACTCGCTGCTTCCTAAATCCCTGACTGTCTCCGGACCGGCGCAGCTAGGCGTCCAGGCGATCTTCGCCTGGATGCGTTCCACTTCGCCCTGGCCATCCCTGGTCGAAACGAACCGCACCGAAGTGTCTGAGGGGAACTCCAGTGGAATGGGACTGACATGGGGCATGGGACATTGGCATGAAACGACATGTGACATGGCAGTACATGTCACGTGTCATCTTTTGAATGCAAATAACAACATCATACAGGATACATCAGGATACCCAATAAATGATATGGCCTCCAAGCAGTCTAGTGGAACCAATAGATATGCTCTGGCCAGGCAGACATGTCATCATTCAGTTAGTATTTAGCTGGACACCACATTCACGTCTTTCTAGGGTGGCCATAGAATCAGAACTCGGAATCCTTGTTGGAAATTCAGGTTGATCACACCTTTTGTGTGGACAATGCATGTTGCATGTTGCACCACCATACACCCTGACCACCAACCAGGAACAGCTTCCAAAATCAGCTGGCTGCCTAGAAGAGCTAGCAAGTGGCTAGGACACTCCCGTGGTCGTCAGCCCTCAGTCGCGCTAAGACCAGCTAAACAGGAACCTCGGGTTCAGGTGCTTTGACGATGATCGTCGGCCCTCCAAAAGCTGATCACGAACACTACCCGGAAAGCGAGCTGGAACCCCCAATGGATCCCAGTAGCATATCAACGCTTGCAGTGGATGATTGTATCCCAACCCTAAAACATCCATGTATGGAACATTCAGCTATACATGTGCCACATGTGGGTGGTTTGAACATATTTAGAACTTCTTGGGGTCCATCTGTATGTAAATATATTTACATATTCCATACATGCATGGAGTATTGGGGAAAGGAAAACAACTCTCATTTGGCCCTACTCTCGAAATAGGGTCCGCGGATGGAGCGCTGACCATGCTTCAACGGTACCTTGGCAGTGCAGGTCATGTACACAGGGGCATCCCAACCCACAATGCAGAAAGGCAGGAATATTGTTTTGGGTGGTGGTTTCAGCTCACTGGAAACATATGATAGTCAGTGGATGTCAGTGGGTTCATCCCAAGTAAAGGTTGATATCTAAAACCACCACCCAAATAATTGTTCCTGTAAACATCAAACTATTTCCTACATCAAGTTGCTCCACCCATTTGCCCACCACTTTGAGCCAAAAAAACACTTCGGGAAAAAAAACAACTACCCTCCATCCAACAAACATGGAAGTGGAACCTGGCCCCGAAAGGAAGACTGAATTCCTCTAATGAACAGGCTGTAATCCGGGAGGGTCTCCGACCGCCCCTTCGACCGGACGACCGGACCGTCCAACCGACGCAGCACCTCCGCCACCGGAGGTAGTGCCGGAAGATTTGGCCTCGCGTCGGTGCGAACGGGGCGGCGAGTCAGCGGTCGGTGCGAAATCGCAGAACTTGTACGTACTTGACGGCTGAATCAAATGAAAACCGTATGAACACGTAGTTTCTGTTCATTTAGGTTATTAGGTTGACTTCGTAATGACTGTTCCCATATGAAAAGGTTCTTCAAATCGGATATCGTTGGATGTCGTTGGATGTTGCTTTCATCGGATCATCGGGATCCTGGCCAAAGCGTAGAAAATGCCAGTACTGCCTACGTACGGCTTCTGACTCTCAAGTCGTCTCCATGGAAAGATAAAGGTTACTGACAGGGAATGAGCCTTTTTCTATGTTTTCTACTGCCAAAGGGATGGAAAACAGGATTTCTACTGTAATTGATTAATTATATAACCGTTTTCATCCTTCTTCCATCCGTTCACATCCATTGGGGAAACCAACCCCTAAAACGACATTGATAGGTTGTCCACTTGACTGCATGGTTCCAGCTTGCAAGGGCAGGTCTTTGGTTCTTCCCGCCCAGTTCCAGATGAGTGCCAGTTTTGCAGGGATGCGGGCAAAGGTCGACCAAAGCAGGGCTCCATCCTGTATTTTCCGGTTTGGTTTCTCAATTTTTCTCATATAGCCGGTTGATGGGTGTTCAGTTGGTTCTGCAATTTCACGATGTTCAAACCATGTTCAAAACGCTGTTGCTGTGAGATGCTGGCCCCACCGAAGCTGCTCCCCCACTGCCCAGCATCTTTTCGCGATTCTGTCCCGACCACTCGAGGGCCGTCCCGTCCCGTCCGTCGCCGCGCAAAATAAGCTGACTTGGTCCCAACGCAAGCCGCCGGCAGCACGGGTTCCATGAATTCCTTGAGAATTCACCTTGACATCATGACCTCCTCGTAAGTATTGTAATAATGTATTCTAAACATCCGTCACTGGAAAGTACCAGAGACAAATGTCGGACGAAACCTTGTCGTCCCTCCCTTGCACAGCAAGCCATCGAAAGCGGCAAATCTCCGCACGATTCCACTTCACCCACGCCACTGAAGCGCAGCAGACATGCCCCCTGTCTCCGGCGCCGTCTTCACCTTCCTCTTCCCGCGCATCTCCAGGGGCTCTCCACCCATCCAGGGCGCCCGGCGCTCGTCCCGTGGTGAGCATAGTCCCTTCCGCACGGAGCGGCCCTCCAAGTCTAGCGATCTCGGGCTCAGCACATTTCCTCGCTCGTCTCCCGCCGGGCGGAACGGAGCCCTCCGGGGCGAGAATTCGCCCGCCTGGGGCGCGTGGGCGGTCGCGGATGGGATGGTGGACCATGAGACGTCCCCTGTCCATCCATCGTTGTTTCCTTGGATTCGAATCCAGCCTGGTATCACCTGGTACCATCTGGTGCCCCAAAAAAAGACGCACGCATGTACAAGGCTGCTTCAGTTTCGTCGATCTTCCAATCCATTTCCCCACCTCAAACACCGCCTCTCCCCACCACACCTTGCTCAAAGGCTTGTGGCTCCAGCTGAAGGGGCTCCAGCGCTCCTCCTCCGGTGGCGCCTCTCCGAACCACATGATCGGCCGCGCGGCCGCCATCGCGGCGGCGAAGTCCTCCTTGCGGCGCTCCGGGGAGGCCGCATCGGACGCGAGCCTCAGAGCCGTGCCACGGAAACGTGACACCGGCCTCCCCCCGCTGTCACTTGGAAGGACATCTCAAGTGTTTGCTTTTGGGGAGGTGCTTGAGTGCGGGAGGATGAGGGTTGGGACTCGATCTATATTTCTCCCTCTGCCTCTCCCCATCGCCTCTCTCTCTCCCTCTCTCTCTGTGCAGCACAAACAGTCGAGCTGTCTGCCACTGCCACGGACGTGCGCGTGCGAGGTCTCAATCTGGGCCAGGACAAGGTGCACACATTTTTGTTGGATAAATTACAATTTATAATCGGGTGTGACAAAATGCAGCAGGTGTTGGCCTAGAAATGTTTTAGTTGACCATTATCATTATCATTATTCTGCGACTCCTGCATGTTTGTGCATACTCTCATACTCAGGACAAGCAAATACTCTCCGACCTGAACACTGCCAAGTAGAGTTGAACGTCCAGGGCCCAAGCACCTCCATTCATCGTTATGATCATTATAGCGGACTCCAAGGGCCACAGACCGTCACAGGTAATTGTTGGACACTCCCCAACCTGTTTCTTCCTTTGCCGCATCTTGCGCCGTTCTTCTCATCATTCCCTGTTACAAGGTGGCATAAGCTGACCATGCGACTGTGTCACGAGTGCTTGAAGCGACGCCCACATGCCATTCAAGTTGGTGTTTGGGAATACTTGCCTTGCCCAATGGAGAGGAGGCAGGAAGTATACAACACAGACTGATGAACAAGACGAAGAACAGCACGAAGCAAAGGACAATTAATATGATGTGGCGAAGGAGTTCAACTAATGAATAAGTTCAGGTTATGTGCACATAGATTAGAAGATGAACATACCGTCATGCCTGATTTATTACGTGTATGTGTAAATTTAGACGGTAAAATTGTATAGTTGAAAAAAGTACCCCCAGAAGTCCAACGACTATATGTTGCCCAATTGATATATAGAAATGAAATGAAATGAAGTTCATGGGGTCACCTCAAAAAAAAATCAAAACTAGCTTGCACACATGTGCTCAAAATCGAGAAAAATGCCGTGAGGACGCCGAAAGGCACGGTTTCTGTGTGGTTCTCACCTCGTTATCCGCTTTATTACAACCAAAAGCACGGCCTTTTGTCCTGAAAAGGCAGCTGTTTGTGCCCAGTGGCCAGGTGCATCTAGATATGTATGAACATATTACAAGATACAATGAGAGCCTCCCTCCCCTTTTCTTTTAACCCAACAAGCTCGCTTCTCCCGCCTGCCCACTCCCACAATCAAAAACCCGTCCTTCCTTCAGTCCAGGGCGCAGGGTCGGCTTCGCCGCTGTCTCGACCGGTCGCTGCAGCACTCCGGCCATGCGGAAGGGCGCTGGGCGACCGCGGAGGCGCCGGGCGTCCGAAGGGGCCTGGAGCAAAGAGCGCGAATGCAGCAGGGGGCATGCCTCTTGGCCATCCGTGCAGATCTACAGCCATGTCTGGCATCATCTGGCCCCAGATCAAACAATCTTTCACCAACCCCTTGACGTTCCCATTCCATTCCCCATCACGATCCCTTCCTCCCATCCGCCTCCCCACTGAGGATCTCAGCCATCAAAGCTCTGGGGCTTAAGGACCGGCGCCGTGACCGGGGTGAGAGCCATGCCTCTGTCGCGGCGGGGGGGAAATTCTCGCCCATACCTCGGCGGAGTGTCCGAGGAAAAAAGAAAACCGAGCAACAATGGTTGGGGCGTTTTGTTTCTGATTCGAGGTTATCCTTTTCACCAGATTGTGTGTTTAGTGGGGACACCCAATCCATGGCCAAAAACAGGTTATATAAAGGATGTTGACTGAATAAATGCAAAATATCGAATGGGTTTAGAGTTGTGGCTGTCTACTTTCCAGGATATTTTTGAACCCATCAACTCTCAAAGAGATGCAGAGAAAGGAGGCCAGGGTCCAGGGCTAGGTGCCGCAATTCAGGTGTTGAACCCCAAAAACAGCAAAAAAACAAACACATCTCTGAACCACTCTTTGTCATTTACAAGTGTACCTGATGAGAGGAGAGTGATCGGGAACAATGTAAAAATAGACGCAAGATGACTACTCAACCCCATTCGGTTGGGGTCTACTTCGGCACACCGTGACGCCCTGGTCGTCTGAGCTACTCCAGCTGGGCGCCAGGTTCCGCCTCTCAGGAGCCCTTCTCAGCGACCGCGCGCGCACGCCGCCCAGCGCCGGAGCGGCATCGAAGGTGAAGGCGGTCTTCTCCTCCCGCGCGGCTCGGAGATCGGCAACCCCAAGGGATGGATGAAGATGATACACTCCCGAAAACTAACATAGACCCTGAAAATGGTCCCATGGAAGACTAGTTTCCGGTCTTTGCTTCTATATAGGTTGTCGGTTGGGTTAAGATTCTAGGATATTCTAGCCCAGACACTCCATGTATGCATATGTATGCCATATATGCCGATCAATTGGGGTGGTTTGAGGGGTCAATGTAGGCATATATGGCATACATGGAGTGTCTGGGTACATGATTATACAAATTATACCCCATACACTCCATGCGACTGCCATAGGACTGGCCCCCCCTGGCACCACCCCTGGCCTGATCGGCAGTCCTATGGCAGTCGCATGGAGCGTTGGTACTTACTGGCACCTCCCCACCAATGACAGCCTGAAAGCGCCCTTGGCACTGGTTCAGAGTAGTAGGTGGCGCAATCCCTGAAAGGTGATTTAGCCTTCAACGACCTGTGAAATATTGCAATAGTGTGAAATAGTGCAAAGTAGTGTGGCTTGACATTTGCACGCATTCCGCTTGGAATTGTAAAGACAATGCAAAAATATCGTTATTACCAAGATAGGACATGGTGTATGCCCCAGGAAGGACACCTCAGCGGTCAAAGGCAGCTGCTATGTTGTTTTTCCTCAGCAGCTGAACCGTTGTCTAAGCGTATCTAATCGTGGGGACTGTGCCGACATGTGCCGACTGAAAAGAATGTCCGGATTTCCTTTTCTCATCGAAGTGTGGACGTATAGGACATTTACATTTACAATATTTTACAATTACAATTACATTGTCCATTTTTGTTTGTAAAAACAAGTTCCTTGAAAGACATCTTGGGTTTTGGAGGGTTTTGGTGCCATCCTTGGGCTCTGAAAACCAGCTGCAATCTTTCATGTTCTGCCCTCCGTTTCGCTGAGGATCGACACTGGGATCGACGCCTGGCGCCTGGTGGAGACGCCTGACGGCTCGCTCCTCGTTGTGGTAGGGCCGTGGAGTGACGCCCAAGACCACCGAGCCTTTAAGCCCTGAGACCGACCGACTCGACCGGAAATGGATCGGTCCACCACTGAGTCGGGCGCTAAATACCGTAAATACTCCAAGAAAGGCATGTCTAAAATGTGTTGAACCAGAAATGCGTTGTGCGTTCGATGTGTCTGAAAGTCCTCAGCTCTGAGCTGAATGAAAGCGGCTCTGTCGTTTGGTACCATCGCGTAGGATCGAGCTTTCTCCTCCAAGATGTCGTCTCAGAAGTTGTGCCCACCAAAGAAAGAATGTGGCTCCCCATTCGCTCATAAATGTATTTGACATTGGCTTCTATAAGCATTATTATTATGAACATTTATGAACTAGCTTTCATACATGTAGAGGTGTATGGTGGGATGTGGTGGGTATTGGGACACTCGCAGGCTTTTCCGTGAACTCGGCCACCCTCTTAGAAAAACACCGGATTGATTATCATCTCTCCCAAGGCGGCAAGGCGGCAACGATCGGCAAGGTGGTTGACTGTGAGAACTTCGGAAGCCTCCACGATCCTCGAAACCAGGACCTTCCTGCTGGCCCATCTCACCATTCGCACGCTGCGTGTCAGGGCACGACCCGTTCAACGCTTTTGGATCGCTTTTGGAACGGAGTGTCTCTGTGTAAGAACACAGAAAAGACCAGGGTGCACTCGAATCATCAGCCATTACAGCTTTAACCTTCAACATCCTTCAACCCGCTTCTTGGAGACACACAGTGTGGTTGGTGAAAGTCCAAGTGTTGTGGGATCGATATGGATCGATGGTCTTACCGCATGTTCTTCCACCCTTCATCCCATTCCTCAGCGTTCTCATCCCCTCCGTGGCAGCTTCACCCCCAAATCCGCCAAGTCTCCCTCCCGTGCCTTTGGGGAGGAACTCCTCAAACGCCGCCGCACCGGCGCCCCATTCGCCAGGTGCCACTCCAACGCGCCCGCGCCGCCGGGGTTGCTGAAGCGTCCTGCTACGCAGCCGGGCAGCTGCGCCGGCGGCGGCGACGGCGGGCGCCCCTTCTGCGGCACGTTGATGCGACGGTACTGCCCAGCGGCAGGAGCATCCATGGGCGGAGAACAGTGTGGCTCCATGTGGCTCCAGGAGTTTCGGTGCCGAACTTGGAGGATAGGGGTGCCCATGATCCACTCACTTGGGGACTAAAAACAATCCCTTTGTGACTCCTGCTTGTTTGTGGAAGATTGTTGACTGCTTCTGTTCAAATTGTCCGGGGGGTGGATGCTGGTCAGCCGGCGATGGGTGGGATTGCCAAAAGGGAGAGTTGTAAGTTGGAGGGGGTGATGTGCTAACGTGCTAACACTTGGACGGTCGAAAAGTTGAGAAACTAACTTCCACTGCCATGTGCGCATTTGGGGTGATCACCACGTGATCAGGCCTGTTCAGGGCCCATCTTGGGGCCAAACCATCTTGAGCCAGCAAGGTCAGGGAAAATCACTGGAACCTGCAGGAGCGTTTCATCCAAGCCACCAGTTTGACAGATCAGTTTCTGAGAGCGCGCAACCAAAAAAGGCTCCACATGGCACAACATCTCGGGTCGAATTGATGAACCTGGTGAAGGCCATGGTGCAGGGGCCATCCAGAGCCTCACACATGTTCCATCCAAAGGATGTGAACTGCGAAAGCCGCGAAAACCCACGCGCCTAGTGGCAACTGACTCTTGAATGGCACCACATTCTGGACAGGTGACGTCCTCAGAGCGAGGTCAACTGTGTGGGGGGGGCGCGAAACAACGCCCGCGCGGGCCGAACGGCCCACCGATACCCAGACACGACCAGTCTGGGACTGCCATAGGACTGCCGATCAAGCCAGGGGTGGTGAAAGCGGGGTCAATGGGGCGGCATACTATATGGCAGTCCCAGACAGGTCGTGTCTGGGATAAAAAATGGCCCCCTGTAAGTCCGGAGAATTTAGGACTGTGACTTATCGATTCACTCACGGCAGTTTACTAAAACCTTTCAGTCAACCTAACTTGCTTCGTCACTTTCGCCCTTTGGGAAGGGGAACAAGACGATTGGTTCTGCTCCACGAAGTTCTGCGAACGCCGTGTGCATCCCAAAAAGGGTCTTCCCGGCTGAGACTCTTCGAACTCGAATGTTTCCAAGCAGACTCGCCATGTCCAGAATGAAGGTCTCTGGTGCGTGCCCACAAAAATCACCAGCACATCCCTGGTGAGGTCCAAAGCACGCAAAAAAATCCCCAATGCCGTATCCTCAATGTGGGGCTATCCACAATGCCGTATCCTCAATTTCTCCCACTTGCAAGTCATGCCTTCTCGTCGGGATGCTCGAATAATCTCGAAACTACTTAGTTGTTCCCCCGCCAAACGCATTGAAATTGTGTCCAGCCCTGCTGATGGTGAAATATCTATTTCAAAGATAAATAGACAGTGCATATCACTTCATGCCGACTTTGGGATGAATAAATAGCTTGTGTTACTGGTGTTCCCTTCAGACCAAGCTAGCTGGGTAGCTGCTTCTCAGCTACTCTCTTCGTCCTTTCCCTGCATTCCAACCGTCTCCCCCTGGGTCTCGGACGGCGAGGGCTGGGAATTCACGCTGTGGCTCCTGACACATCGTCGCTCGTGGCTGAGGTTGGTGACTGGACCCATGAGGAGAGGAGGCACAGCTCACCTGTTGTCGGATTGAATAATCATGGAAATGGATGGCATGGCCCCTTGAATGACCCGTGATTTCCTCTACAAACAGGTGGTTTTCCACGTCCATGCCTATGTCAAGGAGTTGGAACCATTCACAACATCAAACTTCCTTCACTTCTTGCCCCATCGGACCCACCCAGGGCCCCACCGGACCTCCGGTCCTGGTCACGAGGTGTCCTGTCCGCTGCACCACCTCCGAGGCCGCCAAACCTGGAGAGGTCGCGGCACGTCGAGGAGGTCGGGAGCGATGTTGGCGCTGAAACACGCCCCCCCCCCCCGTTTGGATTCAACAGAACCCACCTCCTCAGATGGGGCGGTGTTATTTAGATTTTGTATAGTATAGGATATATATGGATATATTTAGATGAAGCATTTCATATCCTGGATTGAAGAGAAACATCTGTAGGCTGTTGATGAATCAAACCCCCAGGGAGATGCAAATGACACAAGAGGTGCAGGTGCTGCTCGGCCAGCCTCCATCCAGGGACACTGCCTGAAGAAAGGCAACACGAGAAAAATAATGAACAAAGATTGCTCGGAGAAACAAAGATAACAAAGGCTCGTCAAGGCAGCTCTAGTACAGTAGACATTCCCACCAACCTGACTGATCAAACAAAACAAACATGCCCCCAGCTGCTCCAAAAAAGGAGGTTCCCACAACTGGTTTGGAGGAATACGAGTCAACGAATACCTCGCTTGTGCGCTTGTCGCCCGAAACTTGATCACCCAGGAATCGAGTGGAGCCTGGCATATGGAGAGCCATGTGGACCTCTAAAAAAATCATTGCACAACCGTAGCAAGACGCCACGAACCACGGAAACCAGACTGGTGGCCACGGAAGTCTCGTCGTCTCATCAGCTCGAGTCGAGTCGAAGAAATGCAGACGACGAGGTCGACGGTCGAGTGACCTTCTTGGACTTCCGCTTCCAAGTGAGTGTGTTCATCTTGGCCTTGACCTCAAGCACTGCTCCAAGGCATTCCGGGGCAAAATGGAATACATCATGCATCCCCTATGGATCCACATACCTTCTCAGAAGGTAATTGGACCCTCAAAGCCTGCATAAATAGGTTCCACTGAGCAGGTATGTGGATCCATATATATATATATTATATATATAGGGATCAGAACCGGCTGAGCAAGGTGGGGGATTCACCCAGTTATCTCAAGGGCGAGAGCGGCGACACGGACTTGGCGAGAGCGGTTTCCACCGGGAAAAACTGGCGCATTCACCGGGGCCAGGAAGCCTGAAGAATGATTCTTAAAAATTCTAAAAAAAGGTTATACTGCCATAGGATTTTAAGAATGGCTATATACCATGAATATGATTCATATATGACCATTTCCTAAAAACCAATGGAACAACCGCCATTTTTCTGGCCTCCCCGGCCGATGAAGACCATCGGCGACCAGTCCGACGCGTGTGAAATCCAACGACGAGCAACGAAGGGGTGCTGACGAGTAACGAAGCCAGAGCATCCATGGATCAGGTAGATCAGTAATAGCATGTCATAGCCCATTACCATGGGCCCAGTGGATGATGGGGCTGGGCCGCATGTTTTTTTAAAGACCAAGTCGTGATTAAGCTTGTCGACCGACTGTTGCAAATAATGGGACATCCCCCAATCCATGGAAAAACATGGTAAAGTCATGCAAAAAAAACATGGATCGGCACATGGAAACCATTGTTAGGGAAAGGCACCGATGTTTGCAACATGGAGCTCGGTGACAAAGGCTTTCACTTTCGCGTAACGCGGGTGTTTCCAACTCACTTCATATTATCTTCTTAGAGATGCTCTGGCAAAACGTGCTACCCAAACACTCACGGACCCTCCATTCAACACAGGGGTCGCACCCGAATCCTCTGGAGGGGTCGAACTGGCCGAACCAATCCCGAGGTTTGGAGGGACCGGGACAGGGCACCTCCAAGGTCAAACTTCGCTTGATCCCGTGCCGTGGTCAACCATGCCATGGCTGGGTCCAGTGTGTGTTTGGATCCGAAATGCGATGGAAAGGTAGCACATGGGAAACGGATTGGCTGGCAGTGGCATGCAGCGGCTGTCTCTGAAGGCTAGCAGTATCGTGCACGTCTTGTCTGCCTGAAGAACTCTGAAAAGAGAGAGAGGGAGAGAAAGAGTGAGAGAGATTTAAAAAAAACATCACCCTGGGTCACCTGCATCATGGCAAAGAACCGAGAAAAAAAAGAGACTCTCCCCACCGCGACTGCACCCGAGCAGCAGTACGACTCATCTCGGAGGCTGAAGGGAACAGCGACGACGTCTTGGAGCCCTGCGACGTCGAACGACAACTTCGTGTACCCGGGGGGGAAGACGGTTCGAAGACCAGGCTTCCCCAAGCACAGGCAACACCAAGGCCATTATATTATATATATATGGGATTACATGGGTATACCAAACATGTGGGCAGGGTGTTGGACTTGGCACCATGCTGGCTCCGGGCAAAAACACGCGAAGATCTCCAGAGCCTTGCTTGGGGGGAGTCAAAAGAAATACAATGCATCCAGCATCTAACTCCCAACTGTCTCCAACTCTGATATACAGCAACTGAATTCATGAACATTCTCCTGTAAATGGGTAAGTGCTGTCAATCAGCGTGATGTACCCAATGCAGCAACTGAACATCCTCGTGCCATTGGGTCTAGTAAATAGATGAGTGGTTGGAATGATGCTGAAAATGGCCAGCCTGGTCCATGCATCGCCTATGCCTATGACTAACGGCTGGCGATCTAATCCGGGACGCCGGATTGACGTACCTGCTTCGAACACATTGACACCAATGGTCCACCCTGCCGCTGTTTCGTTGGTTCCATGGTTTTTCTTCACGATACCTCCCATAAACCTTTTCCCACCACCGCCTTCAGCCGCTCGTGAGCTGCCGTTGCGATTCTGCAGATGTGCATAAACATGCATAAACCATTTGTTGAAACACCTTCCCGTGCTTGGACGCCTCACCTTTCCGTTGAGCCATTCCTTTCCTTGGGGAATTGAGTTAACTGAAAGCCCAATGTCAAAGCGTATGCCGCTGTGCCCTCCCACTTGGGTGCACATTGTGATCCCCGTCACTGGGGCGCTGAATTCATGCCGGACTACCACTAACAGACTTTGCTGATTTCTGCACACGTTGAATTTTATCTTAACTGATTTTCGTCTCACCACTGTATTCTCAAAATCTAAGCCGCCGGGCTTCACAGATTTGCGACGGAACTTCCATGCCGCCGGGCTTACGGTCATATATATGTGTGTCACACACACACACATCCACGCACCCCCCCCCACCTTGCACCCGAATTCGCACTTTTATCCCACCCGTGTCTAGGGCCGGGTAACAGAAGGAAATGGTACTCGACACACTTGTGTGTGTCGGTGCCTTTCCTT